TAGCCTTGGGTAAATGAACAACGATGGCACAATCCATCCCTCATTGTCGAAATACCTTAAGCACTAAGACAGAGTACAGTGGTGCCTCGCATTACAACATTAATTTGTTCCAGCAAAATCGCTGTAGAACGAAAATGTCGTAATGCGAACTAAAAAAGCCCATAGAAACGCATTAAAACCCGATTAATGTGTTCCTATGGGCTTGAAACTCACAGCCCAGTGAAGATCCTCCATAGCATGGCCATTTTCGCTGCCCGTGCAGCGAGGAATCCATCCCAGAAAAGAATGGGGAGCCATTTTTTACCCAGCGGCCATTTTGAAACCGCCGATCAGCTGGCCGAAAATCGTCGTTTTGCGAGAATTGGTTCCCAAAGCAGGGAACCGATCATCGCAAAGCGAAATTCCCCCATAGGAAACATCATTTTGCGATCGCTTTTGCAATAGCAAAAAGTTCATCGTAATGCGATTTTGTCGTTAAACGGGGCGCTCGTCTTGCGAGGCACCACTGTCATGACAAAATATCTTAGAAGACAGTGTCTTATAGTGGTTGAACTCTGATGCTGGACAGTAGAGGCCTGAGCCCAAGTAGCTGCTCACCGGTGAAATAAACAGCATGTGAGGAGTTTTAAAAAGCCAAAGGGCTTTGATTTTGATTTCTTTGATTTCTTTCTTAAAAGGGCTGTGTGGCAAGCCTGCTCTTCCTTACACCACCAGGAACGTCAACTTATCCCCTTCTTTTTCTCAGCCCTCTCCTCTCTCATCCATTAGGCCAGCAAATTAGTTTATTTAACTGCTTTGAGTTCCTTACATGGGAAGCAATATAATACAGAGAGAGCTTAAATAAAGCTATTTAAGAAGAAAAAGTAAACATTTTGTTTACGTTGAAAAAGAATGGTGAAAACATTACAACCCCATCTTTATGCTTGGTCTTTTCTCTCCCCCCCAACTCTTTTCCTATTTCTCACTCTATGCATGTTGCGTTCCATAGTGTGGGCAACCAGTGACTATTTGCTGCACCCCATGGTCTCCCTTCAAAATGCAGAAACAGTGTTTCCACATTCGTCCAATGAACATGCACATCACTACTTTTTAATAAATGTGGAAATCATAGCTGTGCTGTTTTTCTAGTTTCTGTTTCTTCCTATCATGCCAATTAGAAGCATACGCTTGATGCCTCGTGTGTCTGAGGGATGTGTACCTCTATCCCTCAAACGAAAATTAGAAATGCATAGCAGCAATCATTTTTGAGTAAGCACATATCATTAAAATCTGAAACTGCTCTGAACGACTTTGGAAATGTCAGGCTCTCCCAGCGTAGCTTACCTTAGAAGAAGCTGAGCTTCATGAAATATGAACGGCAAAATAATTTACCAATAATATGCCAATCATTTGGTATATTTGTAATTATTGTAAACAGGGTCAGTTAAATGGAGCATAAAATGTCCCTTTATGAGCCTGTCTGGCCATTAAGATCATCAGGAGAGGCCTTTCTCTCAGTCACACCACCCTCATGGGTGTGTTTGGTGGGGACACAGGGAGAAACTTCTCTGTGGCTGCTCCCGGACTTTGGAACTTCCCACAATAGGAGGCCAGGCTGGCCCCATCTTTACTGTCCTTCCACAAGCAGATGCAGAGTAGAGATGGGGAGGAATATAAAAATGGATTGGCTTTTTTGACAAAAATAGCCAATTGGTTAAATATTCATCCCTTCATATTTGTAGGTTCCAGAGACCCCCCCACGAATATGAAGGGACAAATATTTACCTGTTTTTATTTGTTCTTCATATTAAAAAACAAAACAAAACCATTCTGCCTACCGGCGAGCAATCAACTGATCAGTGGGAATAGGCAGCCACTCCACACACACAGCCACCCACCCCCACAGCCTTCAACTAATCGGCAGCAGATAGGCAGCCACCGCACCCACAGCCAGCCACAACAACAGCCTACCCCCACACCGCCTTCCTCTCCCTACCGTAGCCCCCAACCCAGCCCTACCAACACGCCCTTACCTTAATGGCTACTGCCAAGGTCTCCTTCTGGCCTCCCAGCCATGCACGTAAAAAGGGAGAGTGGCTGCTCTTCGCAAAGATGGCAGCTGTTTTTTCCGCACTACCCACCTATGTGACCGAAAATTCTGCCTCAGATGTGCCAACTCACCCTTTCCAGTGTGGGATAGGCCAAAAATTCCCGCATCCAATGGCCAATCAGAATACGGGTCAAAAATTCCTATCTGGCCCCAAAGGCGACTAGATAAACTCACACTAGAATATAGGGCAGGCAGGTGGGTGCTAGCAAAGGAAGAGGAAGAGGAGAGGGGGGAAGAGCCCTTAAATAACCTATTGTTCCCCCTCTCCCACCTAGTTGCTCACGTGAGATTGAAGAGGTCTCACAACCTCCGAGGAAGAAGGCAAAGGAGAGCCGTGCTGCTGAAGTTTGGCTCAGCAGCAGCTTGTTCAATCTCTTCAGCCAAGCTTCCTCCTAATGATGGGCTGCCTGAGTGGGTTTTTTAAATGGATGGCTGTTCCTTACTGTCTTTCAGTGTAGTATTTGTTTGATCTTTTTAAACATGCAATTTTTTAAGCTTTAAATATTGTGTTTTGGTGATTATAAGCTGCCTTGAGTCCTTCTTAAGGAGAAAGGTAGGACAAGATACTTTAAATAAATAAATATAAGTCCCTCTGGGCTGTAAGATCTGCAAGTGATATTCTTCTTTTGATGTCACCACCTTCAGAGAATTGCTTGCAATGTCATGGAATAGAGACTTTTCAGTGGCTGTTCCTAGTTTACAAAACTCCCTGATAAGGGAAACTAGGCTTGTGATTACATTGGTAAAAGAACTGGTATATAAACCATGTTTAGCTGCAATTGCATCAATGTTTAAAAAAAATGATCATACCATGCACAATGGATCAGATCCCCCCCAACTTGTACTGTTTTGTTCTGAAGTGCATCATTGACCATCATTG